TGATTGACATCCATGCTTAGCTTGAGGGGGAGTGTTAGGTTGAAGGGTTTTATGTATTGATGGTTCGACTGATAAGTGTTCTTATTAGCCTGTATTTGTGTTTAAGTTGTTATGTACTGGGCCTGTGTTAATGGGCCTAAGTTTATTTGGTGTTTTAAGTAGTCTGGGTGTCCCATCACTAATCAGGGGCATTCTAGACATTTCTTGTAACATTGTATTGTAATCTAATATAAATGATAGTACTATCGACTGGGTTAAGCAGTTCGACATTCTCAGCACCTCTTGGTCTCCTCCTCTCTTTTACTACTTCAGCTACAACATTTCAGCTTACAATAAGAACCCACAATGGACTTCCAAAGTCTGAAACCTGACCCTACATCTGATCTGCTTGTTTCAGGTTTGAATGATCTGTTTACATAATCGGATTGGGTTCAAATTTTATAACCTCGTCTAATTAATAATAGGATTGTATGTGCATTTAATCCCTTTAACCAACATTTTATCTGATTAATATCTAAGCCTAATTAAATTTTATAATATATATGTATAAAATTTATACGAATTAATTCAATTTTTCTTATTTATATAAATTTAAAAAGAGATGAACTTTTTAAATATTTTATTTTTTTCCTTTATTTTAAGCGGCCATTGCTTGGTATAATGGTAAAATGTTGGGCTGGCAAGCATGAGAATGTGGGTTCAAGTCTGACTGTGGCTATTTTGTGCAAAAAAAAAATGTCAAAGGTTATAACCATTTATGATCTACCCCTCCCAGGGACCTAAATAGTTGGGACCAACATTTGTAAAGGCTGTTTAGTTTTTATGTTATTTTAAAGAAATATGAAGGACTTGTTTTAAATCCGAATCTGATCTAAGATCCCTAGATAATCGAATTGGATTCAGATGTTGCTGGATCCAATCCGAGTCTGACCTGATTACAGCTCTAACCATCAAATTCAAATAAAAAAAATGATATTAGGCATGATACCGTTCGTAAAGCTTAGGCCATGTTTGGTTGCAGTGCAAATTTTGTCTGGGTGCAAAATTTATACCAGGTAAAGTTTTGCTTTTGTTTGTTTGTAATTATGATTTACATTCCTACCTGATACAATATTTGTACCTTTTGTCTCTTTTATATTCACTAGCAATGCAAATTTCACATCCCAAAAAATGATGCAAAATTTGTACCACCTTCCTCCTACCTCAATTCTTTCTCATATAAAGTGGTGACTACATCATATTGCATCCTACCTTACTCCTAGACAGATAATCCTCCACCTACCTCCACTCTCTTTCATTTAAAGTGGAGGTCACTTCATTTTTCTTCCTATTTTACTTCTTGCAACGAACAAGAGTCAAATCTGAAGCAAAAGTAAACCGGAATTTACACTTAGCCCTTTTCCATCCCATACATTTAAACCGGTGCAAATGAAATTTGTACTGCAACCAAATGCAGCTTTAATGTCAAATTTTCAAATTCAAATAGACAAATGGTTTATGGGCCTGTGCAAGCGATTGAGTTAAAAAAAGGAAAAACAAATAATAAAATGGAAAATAATCAAGGTAGACTGAGATCATTTGAAGTTGCAGGGACTGTTGATGAAGAGGTTGATGAGCTGTTTTCCAGTCAGATTGCAAGACGAATGCAATCTTAGGAGTTAGAAAGGATCTTTGTGATTTTTCAGGAGTTGCAGGTGATTGAGAAGATTCCTAATGCAGTTAGATGTTTTCTAAATGGAAAAACCCATCGTTCTGTTGAGGTATCAGAGGTTTTGCCAGGTTGAAGGGGGGAGTTTATTTGGTGTTGCCCCTAGTAAGAAGGTGAAGGAAACAAACAAACAAAAAAGGTTTGCAAAAGGAACAAAGAAATTCCTAATCAAGGCTCTGAAGCAGAAGAGTATTTGAGCAAATTATGAAAGGTGTCAAATTGGTGTTTAGTGTTCTTTTTTGCTATTTGTTTGTCTTGTTGGTTGTTGGAGGTGTGGCAGTGGGTTTGTGGCGTTCTTATTTATGTTAGCTTGTTTCTTTCTCTTGTTGGAGGTTGGATGTGTGTTTCCATTTTTGTTTGGGTTGCTGTATTTGATGTTCTTAGTTATGGATGGTGAAAGGTTGTTTTCTTTCTTCTCTTAGGTGATTTCTGGTCACCTTTCTTGTACTCTCTTTTTTTTTCTTAATAAATTTTATTTTACTACCAAAGACAAGGAGGGTTTTAACTCCTTTTTACAATGCTAATATATAATGAGGAGCATGTTAATATTTGCCCACTGGCCCCCCTCCCCAATATTTATAATCTTTTTAGTATTAAAAAGTTGTTTAAAAGGGAAAACAAGTGAAGCGTATGCTTACTGTATAAAGTACAAAGTTGGCATATTGCCTCTTTGCATCTCTGTACTAGAGGTGTATGTGGTTCTGCACCTCTATATTATGCCTCAAGGCATTTTCCTAGTGCCTTCACCCCTCCAGCGCCTTTTAAAAACTGGTCAAGACTGGCTGATAAAATTTTCTCAAAATCTTTATATCAGATCCCTTTAAGAAAAGTTGCTACTTGATTTCCATTTTGTGATCTTGAAATGATCTAGAAATAAAAGAATTAAATCATATTTCAGGTTCCTGGAGCTAATGGTAAGCAAGGTGAACAAAAGAGCAAGATTCCTGTAAGGAGATCCAAGGGAAGTTCAGCAAACTTGGATATGCTTGCAGGCAAGGATAATGAGACAGGGAAAGCATCTGGTGCATCTGCTAATGGTGGCTTGTCACATAGGTAACGGAGCTCCAAGTTCTGCAAGTATTCTGGAATGTTTGAAATATGCTGTAATAATATTTATTATTTCTGTACTGATTATATGCAGTTGTAGTGGGAATGATGGCTCATGTGAAGGAAGTGATGTCAATTCTCAAGATGTAGGTGTTGTGAAATCTGTTATTTTTTTCCCTGCATATATTAGTTATATCTATTGGATACATATGTAGTTTTGTACATGCTCTTCCAAGAAAATTTAGCATGATTTCCAACTCTCCATGCATGTTTGGTATAATAAATTGGGACAGAAAGAGAATTATGGGCAAGTTATTCTATATTGTATGTTTCCCCTTTCCTCATTTTTTTTTTAAATTTAAATTTCTAACATGATTTTAGTACATGATACTAATAAAACAAGATTTAATACTGTTTTCATTCAAGACTTGATTGAACAGTGAAAGAAGAAGAAGAAGAGAAGAGAAGAGAAAGGGAAGAGAGGAGAAGATAAAACAGATTTTATAATGCCAAAAAAATTCTGGGCTGGGGCACCCCAATCTCTATTTATACTAGTCTGATAAAAATAAAAGCGTTACAATTACAGGCTTGTCCTTGGTGGTCCACACTATTAAAAGAATATAAAAACTTAAGAAAAGAACATTCTAACAGCACTGTTACTCTTTTAACAGGCTGACAACACTCCCCCTCAAGCATAGTTGTCAAGGCGACAAGGCGCTTTGTGAGGCTCGCCTCGCCTCGCCCAATCGCCAAGCAGTTTTGTACTATCTATTGTAAAATACTTTTTTATTCTTTATTTTTTGACACTATAATTATAAAATAGGCACTATTAAACTAAAATATTCATTTTGTTTTTTTATATACTAATTTGTTTTTATTATTTTCTTATTTGTTAGGACTTAATCAATACAAACATTGCTAAATGCTGTATTGAACCCTCAAAGACTTAATCAATACAAACCAAATGCTGTATTGAACATTGCTACTACTACTACTATAACAAAAATAAGGGTTCAGCCCCTATATTTTTTGAATTTTCTTTTCCTTTTTTTTTTCTTTCTTCTCATGAATATGTTGATTTTCTATACTTTAACATGAACTCTATACTTTTCTTATGAAAATTATGAATAATTATTAAGTGTGGCTATGGTACCTAGGGAACTACCCTAGGATCTATGTTTTCTATATAAAAAATCCATCGCCTAGACTCTGGGCGACAAGGCGCCCCCCTGATGCCCAGCCTCACCTTGGAGCCTTGAAAACTATGCCCTCAAGTTGGGCTATACATGTCAATCATGCCCAACTTGTCACAGAGTTCATTGTGCTGCAAACAAGGATGGCCTTTTGTGAGAACATCGGTCAGTTGCTCTTTAGAGTTAACATTAGGTATGCAGATTTCACCCTTGTCAAGCTTTTCTCTTATGAAATGCTTATCTACCTACCTCAATGTGCTTTGTCATATTGTGAAGTACAAGATTAGTTGCAATGTTTGTGGCTACTTTGTTATCACAATAGAGAGGCATGGGACTGTCAACATTAAGCCCAAGCTCTCCTAGCATATTCTTCTAGCACCTTGGCCACCCCATGTGCCATATCTCTATACTCAAGCTTCAGTACTTGACCTTGTAACCACACTTTGTTTTTTATTTCGCCATTTCACCAAGTTTCCACCCACAAAAGTATAATACCCAATTGTGGGTTTTTTTGTCATCCATAGCACCTACCCAATCGGCATCTGTATAAGCTTTCACTTTCAAATGATTGTGTTTGCTGAATAGCAAACCGGTTCCTGGATATTTCTTTAAATACCTAAGAATCCTCTTAGCAGCCTCCAAGTGTGGTCCCTTAGGTGAATACATGAACTGGCTCGGAACCCCAACAACATAAGCAATGTGTAGGTGTGTCATAGATTGATAAAACAATCTTCCCACTAATTTTTGAAACAGTTTTACATCTTTAAGAGGTTCACTATCACAATCACCTAGCAGTTTGGCATCGAAGCACTTTTTCAAGTGAATTGTTTTTTCTGATGTGGCACCAATGCCACATCAGAAAAAAGCGGAACACTTAAACAGGATTATTCTTTGCCTGTTTATTTGAAAAGCACTGTAGCAATGTTTTATCCTTGCGGAAGTGTCATTTTGACGTTTCTTGAATCGCTTCCCAATTCAATATTGGCCTATCCGACATGGCTATAGCTGTCATTTAGTGTGTCAAGTTACCATGCTAGACAAAGAACAATATGGTGTATCCAGTATTTTAAAAGGCATGCCTAGTCACAGAGGCGAGGTGCTTTCCAGACTGGATGCCTCGCCCAGGCTAAGGCGCACAACCATTAGACAGGTGCTCGCCTTTGCACCTAGGTGTGTGCCTCAGGCCAGGCGATAGGTGGCGCAGACAAGCGCCTGGATGATGTCTTTAACCAATTTCGAAAATACATTAAAATATAAAAAACACAAAATAGGAAACATGGGAGAAAAGGAAGCTGAATTGATAGGGGTCTTTGCCAAAACAGCCAAAGGAAGCCTATATATATATATATATTTCTTCTTCTTCATACAGAAACTTGCACAAAAACAGGGGCGGAACTCCATTCTTCTTCTTCTTCATTCTTTTTTTTTTTTTCCACAGTTTTTAGTTGAAAAACAGAGATCTGCCCTTCTTCTTTTTTCTACAAAGACTTGCAGACTTGCAGTCTTGCTTCTTGCATAAAAACAGGGGCTTTGCCTCATTTTTTTTTTCAATTTTTCTCATTAAACTGGGGATCTGCAATCTGCCCCATTTTTTATCAGTTATTTTCAATAAAAACAGGGGCTTTGCCCCATTGTTTTTCGGTTTTTCTCATCAAAACTGCCCATTCTTCTTCTTCTTACAAAGACTTGCAGAGTTGCAGTCTTGCTTCTTGCACAAAAACAGGGGCTATGCCTAGGGGTGTCAACGGTATTCGAAAATCCGATTTCGAATTCGATATTCGACATAATCAAATCGAATTCGGATAATTCGAATATATAATTGATCGAATTTGGATATCTTATTCATACCGAATAGTTAATCGGATTCGAACTCGGATATGACCTGATTCGATTTGATAAATATCCAAATTTGACCGATTATTTAATTCTTATATATAATATATAAAATATTTTATATAATTTATATATACAATAATTAAGTTATATAAATAATTTATATATTTATATACTTTTTATCAATAAATATTTATTTTATATATTTATTAATTATCTAAAACAATTAATTAATCGAATTGAATATTCGAATATTTAATCGGATTCAAATTCGGATATTGCCTGATCTGATTTGAATTTGATCCATTTACACCCCTAGCTATGCCCCATTTTTTTTCCAGTTTTTCTCATTAGAACAGTTCAGTTTGTCTCAGTAAAACTGTCCATTCTTCTTCTTCAGTAACTTTTTTTTATTGTAAACAGTAGCGTAGAATATTTATTTATTTGTGTTATTATCAAGTAGAATAGTTTATTTATTTTCGAAGTCTGATAGGTTCACAAATATGAGTATTGATAGTTGCAAATTGCAACTTGTTATTTGCCAATAGGAAATTTTACCAACCAAGAAGAATAAAGAGATGGGAGACAAGTCCGACAATACTCAAGAAAGCAATAGGAAAGACCCGCACTGGAAATATTGTTATTTGCAAGATCCAAAGAATACAAATTTTGTCACTTGTAAATTTTGTGGCAAAGTGACATATGAAAGTCTGTCCTAAATGCCTGAAAGAGGTGAAAGAAGAGATATTAGTGTACATGCAGAGAAAAAAATCAATGAAAGAGGACATGGTTGGAGGGATTTTGAAAATACAATTGAAGATGAAGATGAGATGGGGGACAAGGTGGAAGTGCTTGGTGGTGATCACATTCCTAGTGTTGGTGGGAATGTAAATTTTGCTTCAGGTTCAAGAAGTTCTAAACAGCCCCCCATGAGAAGGCAAAAGGGGCCTTTGGATAAATTCTTTCCTACTCCAAGCTCAGAAGAAATTGTGAATTTGAGAAGAGAACAAAAAAAGATGAAGTAAACCACTATTAATGATGCGCATAATAAAGAAGGGAGAGAGCAAGTATGCATACACATAGCTAAATGGTTTTATCAAGCTGGTATTCCCTTGAATACTGTATGCTTGAAAGGTTTTGAAGCAATGGTAGAGGCAATAGGGCAATTTGGTTTAGGATTAAAAATCCCAAGTTACTATGAGTTGCGAGTTCCTTTCTTGAAGGAGGTTGATTATACGAAAACATTGCTTCAACACCATAAGGAGTCTTGGGAAAAATGGGGCTGCTCTCTTATGTCTTATGAGTGAATGGATAGAAAGGATAGGACCCTTATAAATTTTTTGGTCCATAGCCGTGCTGGGACAATGTTTATAGAGAGCATTGATGCTTCAATGCCTTAATTCCTCTTTCTTAATTTCCTTCTTCTACCTATTGCCATCTCTGCCTTCTACTCATTCATCGCCGTTACTCCCTTCTTCCACTTATTGCCATTATTGTTTTAAGAATACTTCCTTCCAGTCGTTGCTGTCGCTTGCATATATGGTTGTTAGATTGGAAAATAACATGCACATTGTGTGCATGTGTTGCATGGGATAATTATAATAACAAAAATGCAGCACAAAAACTCCATGGCACCAAATACATTTTTAGGTGCTTGGTTTTTTTCCTGCTGATGTTTAATGCAACGGAACCAAATACAGTTTTACACGAGATGGTTGAAGAATGATTTTTGACCATTATCTTTTTTTTTTTAGCAACGCATAACTAGTGAAACGCTTCGCTGCCAAAACCTACCTAGTTATGATTAACATCTATAGGTTATTAGCTGGCATTGCACCTAGTTTGCCTGTGTCTTATAAAAGATCCAAGACGTATTTTCTTTGAGAAATTAAGATATTTCTTTGTGAGCAGGCAACTTCAATCTGAAGGAAATACTTTAGGGGTCCTTTCACTTCAAAATGGGAAGTTAAGAACTCCTTCAACTTTTGTATCTTAGATCCCTAGTTCCCTATAATGATGATGTCATCCACATACACTATCAACATTACAATTTTGCCCCTGACATCTCTTGACAAAGAGAGTGTGATCAGATTGGCATTGTTTGAACCCTACTTGCTGAA